ACTGTTAACATATATATATTTCGATAATTTTCCATAAAAACACAGTGTTGATAGAAGGCTAGGGGAAGCTATATTGACACCCTAAAACGCAGAAATGAGTCACATGCTCGTGTTTACTTCTTTTAGAATTTTTTGAAAATTGGACTTTTATGCGTGGAACATGCTTATGATTCAATTGTGTATGATTTGATTTGCACACACACTTATTTTATTGAATACATTCAACATCAAAAGACAGGAGAAGACGGTATTAAATTGGTATCGCCTACTACACAAACTCCCGCCTGTTAGAGAGTATGCGCGTTTTTGTGAAGTAAATGCAACTGCACCCCAAGGCCGCGTGTTAGATATTAGTTTCATGTAGTTTTCATATCCAAGCAATTTCAAAACAGACATAATACCGATTACTTGTAATGGAGTCCTTGGCATCCCTCTGTGGCTTAAGTTGGGCCTAAAGGGAATTATTTGAAAACGAGTCTCCTACTCCGAAGTAATGTTGGAGACAAGGTGGGCTCATACACCAAGATACAATGGTCGAGTCAGGGCGGGCTCGCACTTCAGGATAGAATGTCAAGGATAAGTAGAATTTTTCATTCTTTATAAGAATGAAATAGAGGCTTGCCTCGCGTTAGACAGCTTCATAATCTTCCCCTGAGGATTGACATCCGCCTATTTCACCCTAGATGACGTGAGTCTAATAATCTTCCCCGAGCGTTGAGATCCCCAGTCTCACTCCAAATGAAGGGAATAATTATTTTGCTTCTCTGTTTTCTTTGTCCAAGTGCAAGACGAAGTGTATTGTGTGTAAACAAAAGCACGTGGAAGGCGTATGAATATTGACGACGTCGGCGCCTCAGACGTTTCATGTATTGTGATTTAATCATACACAAAATGTAATCCGTGTGAACACGCCCATAAAACGTCTATAAATTGTACACTTGGTATAGATATTTTAAACAAAAAATGTGAATGAGTTTGAATCCTGATGAAAACAGGATTTTAAGTTTTGAAGATAACACAAGATTTCAGTAACAGACGAACAACTATTTGTCGATCTCTACTAGAGTTATCGTTCCTTAACGATCACAATACACATATGTTAACGGTTCGCGGACTACCAATAACTGACCTCGCGGTCAAAGTCTAAATTAAGTCGGGCTAAACTATGGCGGCATCCCTGAAAACGTCAACGAAGGACACAGCTGTAAACCGTTCTGTATACCATCGATCAGCGTGAAAAAAAGCCCAACATTTTGAGAGGTCATGTGTAAATATTGTCGACAAATAGCCATTAGTTATTACTAATATCACAGTATATGAACAAGACGTCGTAAGTTGAAAAGTGAAAGTACAAAATGTAAATTGGTGACTGTTCACTAAAAATTAATTTTCCGCGATATAATCCATAACGTTTATAGCCACATAATATTTTCAAGATGAACAAACATCTATTTCCAAAATAATAATGTTAAGGTAAGGATGGGTTCATACTCCGGGGTACAATGTTAGGATAAGGATGGGGTCATACTCCGGGGTACAATGTTAGGATAAGGATGGGGTCATACTCCGGGGTACAATGTTAGGATAAGGGCAGGTTCATACTCCATGGTACAATGTTAGGATAAGGGCAGGTTCATACTCCATGGTACAATGTTAGGATAAGGGCAGGTTCATACTCCGGGGTACAATGTTAGGATAAGGGCAGGTTCATACTCCGGGGTACAATGTTAGGATAAGGGCGGGCTCATACTCCGAGGTACAATGTTAGGATAAGGGCGGGCTCATACTCCGGGTACAATGTTAGAAAGGGCGGGCTCATAACAATGTTATGGGTACAATGTTAGGATAAAGACGGGCTCATACTCCGGGGTTCAATGTTAGGATAAGGGCGGGCTCATACTCCGAGGTACAATGTTAGGATAAGGATGGGCTCATAATCTGGGGTACAATGTTAGGATAAGGGCAGGTTCATACTCCGAGGTACAATGTTAGGATAAGGGCGGGCTCATACTCCGAGGTACAATGTTAGGATAATGATGGGCTCATACTCCGAGGTACAATGTTAGAATAATGATGGGCTCATACTCCGGGGTACAATGTTAGGATAAGGGCGGATTAATACTGTGGGGTAGAATGTTAGGGCAAAGGTGGACTCATTTTCTGGGGTAGAATGTTAGGATAAGGGTGAGATCGTATCTGAGTGAAAACAAGTTGAGGACAAGACGGGCTCTACTGTAGTATCATCTAGGTTTCTGAAGTTCTCTAGTGAACAATGGTAAATATGGACACCTTTGTTGAAAAAAATATACTTTTAAGAACAAATATACAGTAGTGACTTAGAAATAAATTGCGGCAAATTCTAGGAAACGCAACTAAAATAATCATTACTATCATTTTCGTTGGGACTCCCTGAGTCACGAAATCAGTATGGATCGGCACTATCAATTTTAGTGTCTTCCGACTTGTTCATGGGACGACCATGTCAGCGAATGTAGCATGTAATCATACGAGATCGCACCGACTGCATCGTATCCAGAATATGTTACCTAAGATAGCACAGCAGTTAGGTAAATCTCGCGCAAATCTAGTGCCTCGTCACATGCTTATCAACGATACAGACCATCTTTGATACGAAAGTGACGAATCAACTGTTTTAAAACATTTTTCAAAAACGCATTATCTATCTTTCTAACACCGTCATCAGTGTATGATGGCGGACTGACGGACCGTACATGTAACAGTTTCAGTAGTTCGACAGGCTTTATGTTCACGTTACGGACATGTTTTCAGTCAAGGTTAACAGATATAAACTTGTTTTTTCCATACGATGATATGCCAAGACTTATCAAGTAGTAATCTATATCAGGAATATTCACAGACGTTTGGAAAATGTATCACATTTGAAGCTCTGTCGGACAACGAGTTTATATCCCCCGGTCTGAGATATTGTTTTGATGCCTAGTATAATATCTTATTAATGTACCAATTTAATTTGTATGGATATACTATCTTGTACAACCCTTACATACGAATACACGAGGCTTGATCTTTCACGTCAAAATGCATCGTTTACCTATTTCGAGTGGGCCAACTGCCGGTGTTTGTATCTATTTCAGTTACAACAAACATTTTCTTAGCAAGCCCTTGTACCAGGCTACACGATTTTTAACAGAGAGAATGTGATTACCCTTTCTGGTACATGTTTCATGCATGTTGAAATCGGCACAACAAGAGGAGTATATGATAACAATAAGGTCATCTCAAGGTCAAAACGAACCATTCACAATACAGTACGAACAGTATAGATTCCCAACATGATGTTTCGATGAATACAGGTGCACACGTTTACGCTAGCAGTAGAGCTAAAGTGTCCCTTTACAGTCATTCTTATTTCCCAGAGTTACTTCCCTTCGTGTCATTCTTACAGCGACGATGAGGGCCGAGAATGGTTTAGAGCTGGGTTACTTTATACAGAATGTTCCTTGTGTCCACTCAGTAACACCCTTTAATTTGGCGACTACTCTCAATTTGAACAGCATTAAAGTCCAGTCATTTATTCAAAGAGCTTACAACGTGTATCCATGTATAAAGCCTTTATGTCCCGACTCATAAGTTGAGAGAACTTTCGACTTGTGTGTCAATTTATAAAGCTTATGACTTACGTTATATATAGCTACATAGCTTATGACTACACGTTTATCTAATTATAGCGAGCCCAGCGAACGCATTATGGTATTTCATATGGAAATTCAAAGCAGTTGAAAACAGACACAGCCAAAACCAACAAACTGCGTGTGATTAGCTTTTTACAGCACGGACTGTGAGTTTACGACCAATCAAAGTCCAAGTAATTCGAAAAAGCGAACAAACACAGATATCAAAAATTCGAAACCCGCAACGGTATAAATTTGTTCGTGAAATTAGTTTTTAACCAACCCGGATAGAATCACATTATTTCCTGTTGATGTAATTTCCGGTTTAAAGCGTGAGATATACAAAATTACGGAACGGTACAATACGGAACGAACCCATACAAAAATACGGAACCGAGAAAAGCTGTACTCAGGCAGGTAACTACTGTTAACATTACCAACAGTGACTTGTATTTAATGAGGTGTCAAAATGACATATTTTGACGATTGAACAATGCACCAAGTTTCACAAGACTAGTTTTGGAACCTACAATTTACATTACATGGTGGTACTGAAGAAGGAGAAATAACATCGACAAATCAGATTGAAAAATATCTGATCCAATACAAATGTTTGTCAAGATCAAACTTGCATAATTACAAGGAAATATCACATCATGCCTACCAAAAGTGGAGGAAAGTACGTCTTGTACAAAGGGAGCTAACTCTAATTCAGAATGGTGCTTTCAGTAAGATTGCGCATTGCCTAATAATAATGAGATTGCCATTCTTATCGACATGAAACGATTACCTTGAAGAATCAACATAAATATATATATATATGATCCATGTACATTTTCTTGGCCATCTTTGTCCGGTGACAAACGAAACAAACCCAACTTTATATTAATTTCATTTTAAGGATTTGATTATCACTGTACGATAAAGTGCCTATAAATCATAAAAAAAATTCTATAAACTTAACTAACATCTCCATGGAACCGGGACATCCTGATGATGTTTGATATGGGCACCAGATTGTTTAAGGGATACGTTTGTCTAGAAGTTTTGTCTCACTGACTCTCAATACCGTTCATATTATCATCTCTAAAACAACATCTTACGTATGACTTGTTTTGACTTTCCGGGTATGGATTGGTACATATTAATCGACAGTCTGTAAATATGCGCCTTACATTGGTGGAATATACTGTCTTACGTCAGGATTAAGACAACATGTCGTCCTATCGTGATCCATGTTGGTCAGTTTGGTTAGTTAACTACACAATGTAAAGATTGCGTACCACCTGTTCTAAGGGGGACAACTCTAACATAAACGGGTGCATGAAACAGACACATGTGACTTACCTTCTCAGGAATTCCATGTTTTCCGTGTGTCTCATGAGACCAGTCCTCATCATGATGCTCTGGAAACATGGCCGGTCTATCGCCCATAACTTACAAGCAGTGATGGCTGCGAACAATCAAAATAAAGATAATTTAAATTTTAACTATTAATTCGTTTGTAATGTTATGGTTTCAATGTGTTAATTCTAACATTACAATCAAACCTGTCTATTGAGGCCACTCCAGGGAGCAGATAAAAGCGACCTTTATAAACAGATGGCCTTTATATAGACGTTCAAATACTATGAATTGTATTACATAGGGAACCACAAAAGTGGCCTTTATAGACAAGTGACCGTTGTATAAAGGTTGTCTTTATCGCATGTTTAACTGTATGTGTATGTTCCTATCAGACTACCAACAAACTTAGAACATTCCTTACAGCATGAAATACACTGTCCTGTGCCATTACACACTAACGGTGCGCACCTGAATACCTATGATGTAGCTGTTAAGAGGTTTACGCACGTGTTAATATACTTTCAGTTACAAATACCAGATATCCTAAATCTGTCAAATTTACTAAATGATAAGATATCGCCTTGTCCTTCACTCCATGTTACCTTAATATTTGTTGTTCAAAAACATTTTGATTTCCTTTTTGTTCAAGTGGAAGTATGATTCCACGGGAAACATCATTTAGTATCCTTACATCTTGTATACACTATCATACATTTCAAACAGAAAAAAACTGAATGCTAGCTTTCAAAACATCTTAGAATTTCATCTACTATCTGATATCTTCATGTAAAATCAGATATCAGAAACTGATCAGGTTTCCGACATGATTTAATTTGATGCTACGTCAAGCATCGTTTCTGTTACACTTATCACAAAGTGTTATCGAAAATAATCACGAGTAATGTGTCAAATTAATCATAGCAACTTCTTTTGTATATATATTATATGGCACATGGACAGCGAGCAACATAAAGTCGCTGTTTCTTAAAATCCACCAACCTCCAATAGCGGGGCGCACCATTACCAGCTTCTGGACTAAAGGAGGATTAACTCCCTTTAGCTGCTTTGGTCTCTACAATAAGTTGCAGTGTAACGTTTTTTACTGGGCAAGTTGTGGCTTCAATACCGGCTATAAATGCCAGTCTACAGGAAATGGGATATGTTTAGACAAGGTATACTATCTTCTATTGCTTTGATCTTTCGGCCTTTAAGATATTACATATAGCATAAACCATGTCCATCAATGATATAAATTACTGACGAGTGATATACCTTTAGGCGTCAAAATATTTATGAATTACGTAAAATACAGTGGAATACTGGGTAACTATGACAACAACGACTCGTGACAGAGATACTTATGTATACATGTAAATAGACGACCAGGATGTTAGTAAAAAGGAATGCAAATTTAAGACATAGGGATAGAAAGTATAAAACTCAAGACAGAAATCATAGAAATAGGGTTAGAAATTCTAGAAAAAATGGTTAGAATTATAGAAATAGGGTTAGAAATTATAGAGATAGGGTTAGAAATTCTAGAAAAAATGGTTAGAATTATAGAAATAGGGTTAGAAATTCTATGGTTAGAATTATAGATAGGGTTAGAAATTATAGAGATAGGGTTAGAAATTATAGAAATAGGATTAGAAATTATAGAAATAGGGTTAGAAATTATAGAGATAGGGATAGAAATTATAGAAATAGGATTAGAAATTATAGAAATAGGGTTAGAAATTATAGAAATAGGGATAGAAATTATAAAGATAGGGTTAGAAATTATAGAAATAGGGTTAGAAATTATAGAAATAGGGTTAGAAATTATAGAAATAGGGTTAGAAATTATAGAGATAGGGTTAGAAATTATAGAAATAGGGTTAGAAATTATAGAGATAGGGTTAGAAATTATAGAAATAGGATTAGAAATTATAGAATAGGGTTAGAAATTATAGAAATAGGGATAGAAATTATAAAGATAGGGTTAGAAATTATAGAAATAGGGTTAGAAATTATAGAGATAGGGTTAGAAATTATAGAAATAGGATTAGAAATTATAGAGATAGGGATAGAAATTATAAAGATAGGGATAGAAATTATAGAAATAGGGTTAGAAATTATAGAAATAGGGTTAGAAATTATAGAAATAGGGTTAGAAATTATAGAAATAGGGTTAGAAATTATAGAAATAGGGTTAGAAATTATAGAGATAGGGATAGAAATTATAGAAATAGGATTAGAAATTATTGAGATAGGGTTAGAAATTATAGAGAGAGGGATAGAAATTATAGAGATAGGGATAGAAATTATAGAATAGGGATAGAAATTATAGAAATAGGATTAGAAATTATAGAAATAGGGTTAGAAATTATAAAGATAGGGTTAGAAATTATAGAGGGATAGAAATTATAGAGATAGGGATAGAAATTATAGAAATAGGATTAGAAATTATTGAAATAGGATTAGAAATTATAAAGATAGGGTTAGAAATTATAGAGAGAGGGATAGAAATTATAGAGATAGGGATAGAAATTATAGAAATAGGATTAGAAATTATAGAGATAGGGATAGAAATTATAGAAATAGGGTTAGAAATTATAGAGATAGGGATAGAAATTATAGAAATAGGATTAGAAATTATTGAAATAGGATTAGAAATTATAAAATAGGGTTAGAAATTATAGAAATAGGGTTAGAAATTATAAAGATAGGGTTAGAAATTATAGAGAGAGGGATAGAAATTATAGAGATAGGGATAGAAATTATAGAAATAGGATTAGAAATTATAGAGATAGGGATAGAAATTATAGAAATAGGGTTAGAAATTATAGAGATAGGGATAGAAATTATAGAAATAGGATTAGAAATTCTAGAAATAGGGTTAGAAATTATAGAAATAGGGATAGAAATTATAAAGATAGGGTTAGAAATTCTAGAAATAGAGATAGAAATTATAAAGATAGGGTTAGAAATTATAGAAATAGGGTTAGAAATTATAGAGATAGGGATAGAAATTATAGAAATAGGATTAGAAATTATAGAGATAGGGTTAGAAATAATAGAAATAGGGTTAGAAATTATAGAGATAGGGTTAGAAATAATAGAAATAGGGATAGAAATTATAGAGATAGGGTTAGAAATTATAGAGATAGGGTTAGAAATAATAGAAATAGGGTTAGAAATTCTAGAAATAAGATTAGAAATTATAAAGATAGGGTAAGAAATGATAGACCAGGGATAGACATTATTATAGAAATAGGGTTAGAAATTCTAGAAATGAGTATATAAATCATAGTACCACACCTTAAATTCTAAACAGCAATATCAGAATCCCATAGTTTCTAAGTCAGAAGTAGATGTTCCCCCAAACTGTTTAAGTCAGATACATCAGCAGAACACAGGATTTGTATGGATTTTACACGCTTGGTTTTCTTCTCTAACAGGGTTTAATTATTTTTTATGAAAATTTCGAAAATACGAACAGACAATTATGGAATGGTATTCCTCTTCAATCTCGTCAAGATTGCACTTGATACATTTTCTTCTATCTTGTACACTATAACTTAATCAGCCAACTTCTATATTAAGTTTATATGAAGACATCCGAACTCTGGTAAGTTCATAATTCACGGTTACCTACTTTAATTACGTGTACATTATTTTATAAAGTAAAAACATCTGTTAAGTATTGAAAAATATAACTCGAAGACGATGTTATGGTGACTTGATATTTCCATCGAGAAATATCACACAATCTATTTCTAATTATTATATACTATTTGACTCCAGATATATCAAAGATCAAGATAATTTTATCTCTACACACTTAAGCAATTGCATACAAGACTTTCCTGCCTTGATCCGCGACCCTTATCTGGGTTTCTCTGAATTAACATTAAAATCTATAAGCATACCTATAACAGTTAAATCATGTAAAACCATACTTCATTCTCCCTAAGAATTCCGCCATTTCTGATATCTACAACTTTGGTTATCGATATTGACTGTTAAAGCCCACTATGCTGTGTAATGTATAGTTGGAGTATAATAAATCATAAAGACCCTCTGGAGACTCTGCTAAAATAACAGTATCCTCAGCGTACATGGGGACAACCAGGTTTAGTTAGTGTAGTTAAATACTTGGATAGTGATGATTAATAAATTGCATTTCAAAATCGTTGACATATAAAGAGTACAAAATCGTGGACATATAAAGAGTACAAAACCGGGGACAACTTCTCCGTGAAATAATCCGTTCTAATATTCAAAATAAGAAACCCACTGTATTTTACACAGCATCAGAATTGTCCGTTCAATAATCTAATAATTGTTCACATAATTCCTTCCAAACATTCTTTGATTAATCTACTACACCTATTTGGTCTATTACTGAAGCCGAAAACTTTCCTATAAATAATAATGCAGCAGTGCAGTCTGTTCTTGTTTTCCAATAATCTATTCATTGAAGTTTGTAATGTGAAAATAACAACCACAGTTGATAAGTCTTTCCGGAAACCAAACTGGCGTCTCTTATCATACTATATTTCATCGAATATTAATACACCAATGTTAAATAAAGACGTGAAAAGATTTCTATTGCAGTCAACGAATGTGGGCCCCTTTAAATGTTGGCACAATATTTGTCCAGAATTAAAGACATTTATAAAAAGTGTACATGATACACAGAACTACAACCCTCTACCAATTAGATAAGAATTAATTAACATGTCGTCCATTTCAATTTTCTAATCAAAATTAAAACTGAGGGTACAATGTATACTTACCTTTGACACAAGCTAATACGATACAATGTAATCCGAAGGATGACGCAGTTTTATATGTACATTTGTATTAATGGTGCTATTCACTTGTGTCTTCCCTACAGTCTTTGACACTTGATACACGAGTACAATGTATAACGTTCTTCAGCACTGTACGGGTACTGACCTTGGGTACAATGTAAAACAACCTTTGACCCCTGCTGTTTGGGTGTGATGTATACTGACCGTTGACACTTGCTGTACGGGTGTGATGTATACTGACCTTTGACACCTGCTGTACGGGTGTGATGTATACTGACCTTTGACACCTGCTGTACGGGTGTGATGTATACTGACCTTTGACACCTGCTGTACGGGTGTGATGTATACTGACCTTTGACACTTGCTGTACGGGTGTAATGTATACTGACTTTTGACACTTGCTGTACGGGTGTAATGTATACTGACTTTTGACACTTGCTGTACGGGTGTGATGTATACTGACCTTTGACACTAGCTGTACGAGTGTGATGTATACTGACCTTTGACACTAGCTGTTCGGGTACAGTTGTAGAGGATGGCCAGTTCCCCAAACACTTTTGCCGGTCCCATGGTACAAAGTTTTGTCGAATCTTTGGTCACTTCCACCTTCCCCTCTGAAAATACAAATGTAGATAATAAACACAAACGTTCTTTTATAATATAATAACAGATATGGGTTTATGATAAATGTGACGACTCCCCATTTTCGTTTTAACGACTTGTTCGAGGAAGAGTCGGGCGCAGCGCGCGCAGAACAGGATGTCCTGAAACAGAAGATTTTTCCCCATTACGACAGCACCGAGCATGTAAAACCAGCCATAATAATGACAATACACGTTCATCTGTCATGATAGACACAGTGACTTTATAGCATGTCCGGGTTTAACACTTTGTTTACCTATTAGACACGACCACAGTACACACGGCCATGGTTTCTTATTGTTTATATGATTGACGGGAATTAAATGTTCCCCCTCCCCCTCACTGTTACTAAATATAAACTGTATAGATCCAACCAACATAATCCTAAACAGTTCACTCTTATGTATTCAAATTATAATAATTATAAAAAAGTTAACACCATAGGTTCGATAGAAGGTTAATTACCGAAATAAATATTGTATCGACTGACAGTTTAATATTAGAGAAGGACACATCCATTTATTTATCTCATTCACAGGGATCTACTTGTCATGTGTAACTGTTTCATGTTGTCAGTTTGCTAAAAAAAGGAAGGGGAAAACGCAAATGATTTTGATTGGACAGAAATTTTATAAATGACCAATCTTTTTTATGAAATTTGAAAAAAAATGTAAACCCACTAGTCCTTCAGATAACACGATCCACTATGAAAGCATTTGGTTCGAAATTTGATAATATGCGACAGTAGTTATTTGATGATAAACCGAACGTGAAGATGTTTTTAATCAGGAGAAGAACTCTCAATTGTTTTTTTTCGGATGAGAAGTGACGTACAAAAATAAGACAAGGAAAGATGGCTAGTTGTGGGGAGATCACATTTACACAAATAGGGGAGAATGCGGAATGTGTTTTGGAGGAGTTTATTTTACTTACAGATCTGAGCAATGATTGAACGTTTTATCTACAATGTTTTTATCAATTGATAACACGGAAACATGTATTCCAAGACGAATTTCAGTTAAACTATATTTTAATGTCTGCGACGACATTTTCATCATAACTGAAGTTTATACAATTTACATGTACATATCAGATAGTACTCGATGGCCATACTGCGAATGAAACACACGGATATCGGAGATGTCCTCTATGACTCGTGCGAAAGGATGATGCTCTACATCTAAAAACACGTTCATCGTTCCAACTCAGCTTCTCTCTCTCTCTCTCTCTCTCTCTGTCTGTCTCTCTCTCTCTCTCTCTCTCTCTCTCTCTCTCTCTCTCTCTCTCTCTCTCTCAGCTACCGTTATATATTACAAGTGACTAGATACACAGAATAAAAAAAGATAATTATTAGTGACCATTTTGTTAATTTCATTTAACTAACATCCAAACTTTTAAAACGTGAGGTACGTAGTATACGATGAACACAGGGCGGATTCCTCATATTCGGTCTTAATAGACTTCCTGGTAACGGCCAAGCTAGAGTAACATATCAACTAATTATCACAGACTCATTATACATCACAAGACCTCTTAATAGTAGAGCCAGGCCCAGAGATATCGTTAACATTTTAACAATCACTGATAATAATTACCATCTGTGTTTCTGCTTGTACCAGAGCATTATTTGGGCGTGACGTACTGTTCATTCGTTAAGCATAAAAAATGTACAAAGTTGGAATAATCATCACTAAAACCCTATATACATGTACAAACACAAACAAGAGCAATATATATATATAAACGTTGTATATGCATATGCAAGAAGTCTACCTCTAATTATTTACTGAAATTACATAATACAGCTGCTTTGTAATCAAACTATAATGTAATCGTTATACACATCCGTTTGCCTACGAGCCGTTTGTACACAGCCGTTATTTCTCATGACACGATTAATACATCTATTCGTCACATGATGAAAAGTATGTAACAACGGTAGTCAATGCTGCGATGGCCACACAGCCGTTTGTCACATGATACGATGCAAACACAGCCGTTTGTCACATGGTACGATATAAACGAGCCGCTTGTCACATTTCACAATGTATACGTAGCCGCTTGTCACATGGTACAATGCATACGTAGCTGCTTGTCACATGGTACAATGTCACATACATAGCTGCTTGTCACATGGTACAATGTATACGTAGCCGCTTGTCACGTGGTACAATGTGTTCGTAGCTGCTTGTCACGTGGTACAATGTATACGTAGCCGCTTGTCACGTAGTACAATGTATACGTAGCCGCTTGTCACGTGGTACAATGTATACGTAGCCGCTTGTCACATGGTACAATGTATACGTAGCCGCATGTCACATGGTACAATGTATACGTAACTGCTTGTCAAATGGTACAATGTATACGTAGCCGCTTTTCACGTGGTACAATGTATACGTAGTCGCTTGTCACATGGTACAATGTATACGTAGCCGCATGTCACATGGTACAATGTATACGTAGCCGCTTGTCACATGGTACAATGTATACGTAGCCGTTTGTCACATGGTACAATGCATACGTAGCCGCTTGTCACATGGTACAATGTCACATACATAGCTGCTTGTCACGTGGTACAATGTATACGTAGCCGCTTGTCACATGGTACAATGTATACGTAGCCGCATGTTACATGGTACAATGTATACGTAGCCGCTTGTCACATGGTACAATGTATACGTAGCCGCATGTCACATGGTACAATGTATACGTAGCTGCTTGTCACATGGTACAATGTATACGTAGCCGCTTGTCACGTGGTACAATGTATACGTAGCTGCTTGTCACATGGTACAAGGTACATAAATGTCGCTGATGCTAATGTATCCTTTGCCATCACCGAGATTCCCTGGTAACATATAAGTGGCGTCCGTAAACAAAAATATCTAGCTTACAGCCACATGATACCTTGAGAAAATTGTCGATCGCAACGTTTCGGAGTCTGAATCAACAGGAAGTTACGTATCGTATTTCCCGCCATTTCCACGACCTTTACCTCTAAAAACATGTGTAACATGCTACCGACATGTCCGTCTGATTCAAATAGACATTGCTTTATGCTATCTTACAGGAAACAGATTCACGTACATTTCCTAGCACTATTTCCGAAACAACCGATCTTGTTGTAGAAGATAGTGATAGTAACAATACACAAAACTAACCCAATATGTGTACATATAGATAGGGGTGTTTCGGTGCACGCTATTCTCACAACTTCCCGTTACACAATAGTTCCATTTCACTAAAACAAATCATTCTGGTTGTAAGATTGCCGGATGTTTATAATACAGACAAAATGCCAATTGCCATCAGCACTGAAAACAAACTGGCTGATTATTTATAGAACCCAGTGGACTATAAAAGAGGGCATTTGTGTGTTAAAGATAAAAGATGTAAACCAGTTGTTTATATGTTTTATTTCAGTTTACACGTGCACGCAGTTGGAAGGTACAATCACAGGAAATAACTGGAGTTTCATTGTTGGTGTATAATATGGTAAGATCTTTTCAATCTTTACGGTATAAAAACTGGTCTGAATGAAATAAAACATTTCCCTGTTTATAACAAATATATTACAATAAAGCCTCCACACTGATGCAGTAAACGGTGCCAATAGTGTATGCCAAGTTCTGCCTGAGTACATTACCTAACTATTCCACCTGATACGCTGTGTTAGGTACTGTTCTGCAATGTAGACAGTGCTGATTAATAGTGGCCCAGGGACAGGGAATTTAACACTAATAACATACCCGGGGCGTGGAATAAGAATAACAACAGCGGAATATATCATCAGAACCTGGCATTCCAAGTTGACGGAAGGACATGATGTATTCCGTAACGCTTGAGGACTTCCAAAATATAATGCCAAGTTTTCTCTAAATACACATATGTTAAATGTGAGCGACACACTACTATACATTGTACATCCATAGTGATTAAGGATTAGTGATATAACCATTTAATGATTCAATCATAATTATATGTATCAGGTATAACTAACCTTAGTTAATTAACTAAGTTAATCCCCGTTATAGGTACCGGATCAAACCAAACTTAGTTATAAGTAACAAGTTAATCCGACATTGTAGTTACAGGTACCAGATCAAGCTAACTGAGGTTATAGTTTCCACATCAAGTTAAACCTAGTAATAAGTCAGGTTAAGCCTTAGTTATATGTATCAGGTCAAGTTTATCTTAGTTATAGGTGTCAGGTCAAGTCAACCTTAGTTATAAGTACCAAGTTAATACTAGTTATATCCACATGGTCTAGCTACCCTAGTTATTGGTACCACGTCAAGCGAATCCTAGTTATAGGTTCCAGATCCAGTTAACCCTAATTATAGGTATCATGTTAAAATTACCCTGTAAGCTTCGTTTATCAGGCCGATGACCCATAAATTGAGCGGTAAAAAGGTGCTCTCGGAGGAAGAAAAAAAGAATAATTTGTGTAATGAAATGATACGGAAGATGAATACCATTTTATAATGAAGTGTAAGTGTTATGCAGACATCCGTCTCAATTTGATTACGGTAGGAATCTTAAAGTGTACATACAATGGATTCAGTTTATACATGTCAAAAATACAAAAACACTATGATTTAGGAACGTATTAACATCAGCAGTAAGCACAGCATGAATTTATTTTCAAATTTACCATTATAATCAGGTTTTATGTTATCCTGGCGAGAAAGCTTCAGTATGGCTGTGCAGAATTTACAGAGAGTTGTATAATTTTCGTGGTATTATATTGTAAATGACAGTAGTAATTGTTACTCTCTTTAAATATGATAATGTTTAGGACAATGACGTAGTCTATGATGAAGACGATGTTTAGAATAGTGACGTAATCTATGATGATGTTTAGAATAGTGACGTAGTCTATGATGATGATGATGACGATGTTTAGAATAGTGACGTAGTCTATGATGATGATGACGATGTTTAGAATAGTGACGTAGTCTATGATGATGATGATGACGATGTTTAGAATAGTAACGTAGTCTATGGTGATGATGACGATGTTTAGAATAATGACGTAGTCTATGATGATGATGATGACGATGTTTAGAATAGTGACGTAGTCTATGATGATGATGATGACGATGTTTAGAATAGTGACGTAGTCTATGATGATGATGATGACGATGTTTAGAATAGTAACGTAGTCTATGGTGATGATGACGATGTTTAGAATAGTGACGTAGCCTATGGTGATGATGACGATGTTTAGAATAGTGACGTAGTCTATGATGATGATAACGACGATGTTTAGAATAGTGACGTAGTCTATGGTGATGATGACGATGTTTAGAATAGTGACGTAGTCTATGATGATGATGATGATATACACCGGGTCAAGCTAGCCGTAGTTAAAGATACCAAGCCAAGGTAACCATGACTCTAGGTACCAGGCTAAGCTAGCCTGAGTTATAGCTTCTATTTAAGCTAACATTTGTTGTAGATAATATGCAAAGCAAACCGTAGTTACCGGCACCAGGTCAAGTTCATCAAAGTTAAAAGTACCATTCAAGTTAACCTTTGTTATATGTATCAGGCCAAGCTAACCCTAACTACAGCCGCCAGGTTAAGTTAGCCGAAGCTTTAGGTACAATGTGTTTCATGCTAACCCTTGCTATAGCCACCAGGTTAAGTTAACCGAAGCTTTAGGTACAATGTGCATCATGCTATCCCTGGTTATAACACCGCCTGTTACACCAAAGTCCCTGTCATTCAGATCGACTAGCTAGGTGTCGGTACCAATTAGTGGCATATCTATCTAACCGACAATCACCTTACCATGGTTTTCCTGTACGCCACATTCTCTCAACAAGTGCGAGCAAGCAAAAACAGCAACAGTTGCCGCGAGTTGAAAATGATGATATCTTTTCATTTTAAAGCAATGATTTATGTACAGCCTCTAAGCACAGAGGTCTATAACTCGTATAACAACAAAACACGAGAGAGAAATTTACCAGCGAAAAAATCGCCGGTATTCGGCCAAATACTATTTCATTTTTTTTCATCTTGTCACATATTTACATAAATTACCTACATTTACTAACTTTTCACTCAATGTGATTCTGAAACAAGACCGACAATTTCCCAGATGTAGCTATGTATGTCCGCTGAAATTCAGATCAAATTAGGCTGGTATCGCGTGAGAGGATCTCCGTCAGTTACATAAGTAAAGTATTCAGTTCTAAAATAGTCTCAAAAACAGACTTCATTTCGTGTGGTACGTCATTAAAATTAAACCAGCCGCCATTGTTGTAATTACAGAAATAGGAACGAGGCAATTTTACAAAGGACAAATTCATTGGTTGATTTCTTTTATTGTAGTTATTTATAGTATGTTACACGAGCCCTCCTTCATTAAAACGCTGCAACCTGCCCCTGTGCTTCGTCACAGAAGCCATGGAATATATATTTAGATCCCAGCGAAGGAGCTTTACGTCAAATCCAAGTTCTGGCCAACCTCAGGAGGGAGATAATCATCAGGGGCAGAGATCCATTCGCGGAAGCCTTACTTCATATCGAAGTTGTGGGCAACCACAGGAAGGAGATAAGATAAGGGGCAGAGATCCATTCGCGGAAGCCTTACTTCATATCGAAGTTGTGGGCAACCACAGGAAGGAGATAATCATCAGGGGCAGAGATCCATTCGCGGAAGCCTTACTTCATATCGAAGTTGTGGGCAACCACAGGAATGAGATAAGATAAGGGGCAGAGATCCATTCGCGGAAGCCTTACTTCATATCGAAGTTGTGGGCAACCACAGTAGGGAGATAAGATAAGGGGCAGAGATCCATACGCGGAAGCCTTACTTCATATCGAAGTTGTGGGCAACCACAGGAAGGAGATAAGATAAGGGGCAGAGATCCATACGCGGAAGCCTTACTTCATATCGAAGTTGTGGGCAACCACAGGAAGGAGATAATCATCAGGGGCAGAGATCCATACGAACAAGCCTTACTTCATATCGAAGTTGTGGGCAACCACAGTAGGGAGATAAGATAAGGGGCAGAGATCCATACGCGGAAGCCTTACTTCATATCGAAGTTGTGGGCAACCACAGGAAGGAGATAATCATCAGGGGCAGAGATCCATACGAACAAGCCTTACTTCATATCGAAGTTGTGGGCAACCACAGTAGGGAGATAAGATAAGGGGCAGAGATCCATACGCGGAAGCCTTACTTCATATCGAAGTTGTGGGCAACCACAGGAAGGAGATAATCATCCAGGGGCAGAGATCCATACGAACAAGCCTTACTTCATATCGAAGTTGTGGGCAACCACAGTAGGGAGATAAGATAAGGGGCAGAGATCCATACGCGGAAGCCTTACTTCATATCGAAGTTGTGGGCAACTACAGGAGGGAGATAATCATCAGGGGCAGAGATCAATACGAATAAGCCTTACTTCATATCGAAGTTGTGAGCAACCACAGTAGGGAGATAAGATAAGGGGCAGAGATCAATACGAGGGAGCATCACTTCATATCAACTTATGTTGGGGTTGCGGGATTGTTGCTACCAAGAAATGGAAAATTTACAGCAGAGAAATTGAAAACATCACGCTTATCAATCAGCTTGGTGGAGGAAAATATCGAGATACGTGTCACTGGGCACAGATCGACATGAGAATGATGACATTAGAGGGCACTGGGCAACATGAGGGTGATGGCATTAGACTGCACTGGTCAACATAAGGTCGATGAAAATACAGGGCATTGGTCGACATGAAGGCGATGACATCATAAGGAAAAATTAAACACGAGAATGATGAAAATACAGGGGCACAGATCGACATGAGCTAGATGACAATGCAGGGCTACACTAGTACACTGTACACGGGACTCTGATGATCTCTTAGTCTGACTTGATACAGTGCATGTTTGGTCTCATCGAAATCAAATCTGATAATTTGTATTATACACGCATTTCACACGTTTCTTTTAATCTGTAAGTATTGGGGAAAAAACTTCAGTAATTGTTTATGTTCGACCTGGTCTCGGAAGCAAGGACTGAGATGTTTAAGTACTCCGTTAAGATCTGGGCTCGAATGTAAGGTTTTCGTTGTGCTTCCGAACAACGTTGTGATCAGAATATAATTTGCTAACTATCATAAACGAACTATGAAATCGTTGCCTTATAAGTACCATGTCAGGTCATTGGAAGAGGATGTTACTGGTGTTATTGGAGTCGGTTCTTTTATCAAAACAATGAGAAACACAACAAAAATAGACAATTAATAAACGCATCGAATTAAAATAAGCTCCGAATGGTCACATCAAGCTTCATTATCAGTTACACAGAAAGTCAATATTGCACGATATTCTAACAGTACGAAATTATTTTTCATTCTCCTTATCTTTCAATAATTGTAAGGATTATGACCACTACCTTTCAACAATTCTGACAGTTATGATCATTACATGTCAATACTTGTGAGAGTTATAGCCCTTACCTTCCATGACGTACACCAGAGAGCCAATCTCGCCCTCATTAATGATGAGACTGTCCTGGGTATATTCCACTGGATACATACAATCAACGATCTCTCGGATCTGACCCATGTCAAGATTTTTCATAAAGTCGTTGTCAAGGATTGCCTGTTTGATGAGGTCTCTGGTACTGTAACGTAAAACAAGAACACTTTACTTTAATACATCTTAGGAATGTGATACATCTGCTCAGAGCTAGAATCTCAAAGGTATTAGACCAACATTCAGCGTCCGACATCCGATACAACATAACGGCCCCGAAATATCAACACAGGCCCGACAATTCATAACAGTTCTGATACATAATAACAGTCCCGAGAGACACACCCTCTGCTGTGGTCAGATCAGCCTGGTCAGAGATCCCGTCGACACCTTTCCCCTGTATTCAGAATAGTCTGGTCAGAGATCCTGTCGATTATCTGCCCCTGTGATCAGAACAGTTTGGCTCGAGATTCAGTCGACTCTCTGCCCCGGTGATCAGAACAGTTTGGCTCGAGATTCTGTCGACTCTCTGCCCCTGTGATTAGAACAGTCTGTCTCGAGATTCTGTCGACTCTCTGCCCCTGTGATCAGAACAGTTTGGCTCGATATTCTGTCGACACCATGCCTTGTGATCAGAACAGTCTGGCTCGAGATTCTGTCAACTCTCTGCCCCTGTGATCAGAACAGTCTGCCTCGAGATTCTGTCGACTCTCTGCCCCTGTGATCAGAACAGTCTGGCTCGACATTCTGTCGACTCTCTGCCCCTGTGATCAGAACAGGCTGGCTCGAGATTCTGTCGACACCATGCCTTGTGATCAGAACGGTCTGGCTCGAGATCCTGTCGATTATCTGCCACTGTGATCAGAACAGTCTGGCTAGCGATTCTGTGGACTTTCTGCCCCTGTGATCAGAACAGGCTGGCTCGAGACTCTCTCGACTCTCTGCTCCTGTGATCAGAACAGGCTGGCTCGAGATTGTGTCGACACCCTGCCTTGTGATCAGAACAGTCTGGCTCAAGATTCTGTCGACACCATGCCTTGTGATCAGAACAGTCTGGCTCGAGATCCTGTCGATTATCTGCCCCTGTGATCAGAACAGTCTGGCTAGCGATTCTGTGGACTTTCTGCCCCTGTGATCAGAACAGTTTGGCTCGATATTCTGTCGACTCTCTGCCCCTGTGATCAGAACAGTCTGGCTAGCGATTCTGTGGACTCTCTGCTCCTGTGATCAGAACAGGCTGGCTCGAGATTCTGTCGACACCCTGCCTTGTGATCAGAACAGTCTGGCTAGCGATTCTTTGGACTTTCTGCCCCTGTGATCAGAACAGTCTGGCTAGCGATTCTGTGGACTCTCTGCTCCTGTGATCAAAACAGGCTGGCTCGAGATTCTGTCGACTCTCTGCTCCTGTGATCAGAATAGTTTGGCGCGAGATTCTGTTGACACCATGCCTTGTGATCAGAACAGTCTGGCTCGAGATTCTGTCGACTCTCTGCCCCTGTGATCAGAACAGACTGACTTGAGCGTCTGTCGACTCTCTGCCCCTGTGATCAGAACAGTTTGGCGCGAGATTCTGTCGACACCATGCCTTGTGATCAGAACAGTCTGGCTCGAGATTCTGTCGACTCTCTGCCCCTGTGATCAGAACAGTTTGACGCGAGATTCTGTCGACTCTCTGCCCCTGTGATCAGAACAGACTGACTTGAGCTTCTGTCGACTCTCTGCCCCTGTGATCAGAACAGACTGACTTGAGCTTCTGTCGACACCCTGCCTTGTGATCAGAACAGTCTGGCTCGAGATTCTGTCGACTCTCTGCCCCTGTGATCAGAACAGACTGACTTGAGCGTCTGTCGACTCTCTGCCCCTGTGATCAGAACAGTTTGGCGCGAGATTCTGTCGACACCATGCCTTGTGATCAGAACAGTCTGGCTCGAGATTCTGTCGACTCTCTGCCCCTGTGATCAGAACAGTTTGACGCGAGATTCTGTCGACTCTCTGCCCCTGTGATCAGAACAGACTGACTTGAGCTTCTGTCGACTCTCTGCCCCTGTGATCAGAACAGACTGACTTGAGCTTCTGTCGACACCCTGCCTTGTGATCAGAACAGTCTGGCTCGAGATTCTGTCGACTCTCTGCCCCTGTGATCAGAACAGACTGACTTGAGCGTCTGTCGACTCTCTGCCCCTGTGATCAGAACAGTTTGGCGCGAGATTCTGTCGACACCATGCCTTGTGATCAGAACAGACTGACTTGAGCGTCTGTCGACTCTCTGCCCCTGTGATCAGAACAGACTGACTTGAGCTTCTGTCGACACCCTGCCTTGTGATCAGAACAGTCTGGCTAGAGATCCCGTCGACTCTCTGCCTTGTGAACAGAACAGTTTGGCTAGAGATCCCGTCGATATGTTGTTGATATGCCATCACGCTAAGCTTACAGATATAATAAAGTTCTGTCCGACTTATCTGCCTAGCAGGCACGTTAATAAGCAATGTTGTTGTTATTGACATGTACATAGAGGGGTAAATGACCAAACAAGTTCATGGTCATCCCTGCAAACTACCTGGATACAATTTAAAGTCCGCAGGTGTACATCCAAATTATATCTGAGATACAACCATTAACTTTCTTGCCAATAAATGGGCGTTGTCATCCCTTAGTTGTTATTAAAGAGGTCTCCATACCTAAATCAATGCTCGTGTATAATCATGACAATATAGCTAACTTACATGTTTCTAAATCATGATCTAAACGCATCAGTAAATCAATTTATAACGTGCGATAGGTCTTAATGTTGGAGGGAGTCTGAGTACCCGGGGAAAAGTCACGTGGTCGGGCAGGTGATCCTCATATTTTTTTCAGGCGGGATTTATATTAGATCCGCACTAATATCTCAAAGTATCATTGTTACAGATCCCGATATTAAGACTCAAACTCCGATATTAAGACTAGATCTCCCGATATTAAGACTAAATCTCCCGATATTGAAATTTGATCCCTCTACGACCAGCTTTCTGAGCTTGGTATAGAATCCAACGCGCCAGTAACGACCGGAAACTTTGGATCAATTCAATTACATTTTATTTACAGGATGGATGTACGTACACATTCCATCTGCAACACTCAGCGAAATATGAATACACGTGTAATGTACGTGCACGCTGTCTATCGATAACATACAACTGACGGAATCATCAGTCATAAATCAAGGTTATTGTTGTTAACTTGACCAATCATCGCCAATTACCTAATCTGTCGTTACGGACGACTTCCGGACTTTATTTACATCGTAACAATAATTGATGTATTCCTTTGTTTCGTCTGGATTATGGTTTATGTACATAGTCAGATATCGATCACAGTGACGTCAATGGGATTGATTTAATATAGAATTTATGTTATTAATTCATGTAAGTAAATTTCGGTCCTGTACTTTATAGAGTGTACAAGCAACACAAGACTACCATTTTATATGTAAGACAACCACCTAGTACAATCTACTGGCACTGCATTCATGATTCATCACAGTGTAGTGAGCGTAACATGTTTTATCTGATATAGTAATCCTACATCTAAGATCAGATCTCGAGGCACTCCTAATCAAAACAAAAGATAAATGCGAACACCACTCGCAGAGATAAGACTTTTCCTGATAACCTTGATCGAGTTGATAATACAAAAACAAAACATCTATAATTTTCAGATATATGTCGGGCGGTTTAAACGTGTTGGTATTCTCGAGGACGAGAACAGAATGGTGAAAGAGTACTATGACGTACACAAAATAATTTAATAAATTTAAATGTATTTTAAAAACATATATCTTACACACACGATCCACCCTAGTTTTTCATATAACACGTGGCTACGGTATATCTGTCTGTGTGTTTGTAAGACAATTTGTTAATGATAAAAGAATTGGAGAAATCCTGCTCCATAAGCTCGTGTGAACGATGTTTCAACGATAACGGACTATTTCCGTTATAGTAGACTGCACGTGTTGGCGAGTACATGTTGCCTTCTGTCCGTCATGCATTCCGCTCTACAGTCACACTCGTCGGTAGAGGGTTGGCTTTTCCCCGAGCGATACGGATGATGAGGAGCTCAATCCTGGTTTGTGTCAGCAGATCGCTCTCAAAAACATATCGCAGGTTTTGTGGGGAAGCTTTTGATGTAAGAAGCATGTTTGTGAAGCGTTATCAGTTGGATGGAAGTATATTGAAGCGGAATGTTAAACTTGTATCTCACGCTTATCACCATAAATGATTTACAATAAGTATATCTAAAAATAAACTTGGAAGTGAAATGTTTGTCGATCTTATCGCCAAATCCACAGACATTTCTCAATCGGATAGCATAAAGATTTCTAAAAGAAAACAAAAACATTTCTGGACAACTCAATTTGTCCGTTTGTTTAATTTCTCCGGTATCTTCCGCCGCTGACATGCACGTGTCGGTGCTTTGATTTTGGTGCGGGCACGTGTAATTGATGGTGCAGGGATTAGGGTACGTGAACGGGTCGTATTGGAAGGAGAAGCCCTAGCGAACACCAAATCTTCATGGCGACTGGACTAATTGGCGGAAACATGGAAGTGTAGATATTGCGGTATCGAACGCTACCTGGCACCATGTCCTAGATCTTATCTTGAGATATGGCGCGTGCGGAGCGGACGTGAGTTTTCACGTAAGGTTGAGGACGTAACTATATTACAACAGTACAGAAGAGTTAACTATCATGGTTATTGTCTACTACAAATCAACTTTATCTATACCTGAAATATTTCCTGTAAACAGTGTTAGTAACTAATTTCAACGATCGTCAACACGTGCTAAGGAACGGTCACTTGTTGCGTATCGTCTTTTTACACTTTATTTATTAAACGAGTTTTACGTCCACTATTACGGCCTTTCGGCCCTCAGCGGACGAGTCTTTTAACACAATTAATAGGGGTCTTCATAACACGATAACTAACGGTCACGTGATAATCTCTTAACCACAACTAATACATGCATGTCACAATAAACAACAGTCACGTGTGGCTGATCATCTCTTAACCACAACTAATACACCACAATAAACAACGGGCACGTGTGGTGGATCATCTCTAAACCACAACTAATGCGCCACAATAAACAATGGTCACGTGTGGTGGA